GTTGTGTTCTTTAACTCAGTTTTAGTTGTGTTCTCTAATTCAGTTTTAGTTGTGTTCTTTAACTCAGTTTTAGTTGTGTTCTTTAACTCAGTTTTAGTTGTGTTCTTTAACTCAATTTTAGTTGTGTTCTCTAATTCAGTTTTAGTTGTGTTCTCTAATTCAGTTTTAGTTGTGTTCTTTAACTCAGTTTTAGTTGTGTTCTTTAACTCAGTTTTAGTTGTGTTCTCTAATTCAGTTTTAGTTGTGTTCTTTAACTCAGTTTTAGTTGTGTTCTCTAATTCAGTTTTAGTTGTGTTCTTTAACTCAGTTTTAGTTGTGTTCTCCAACTCAGTTTTAGTTGTGTTCTCTAATTCAGTTTTAGTTGTGCTGTGTTCTTTAATTCAGTTTTAGTTGTGCTGTGTTCTCTAATTCAGTTTTAGTTGTGTTCTCCAACTCAGTTTTAGTTGTGTTCTCCAACTCAGTTTTAGTTGTGTTGTGTTCTCTAATTCAGTTTCATCTGAATAAAAGAGAACTCCAGAAGAAGGTGGAGGTTATACTTTCATGAGCTCCAGAAGAAGGTGGAGGTTATACTTATAATTTAGAAACTCAGTGAAATAACTTGCCGAACTACAATAACAATGTCAGGCGAACGCAAGTGAAATAACGTTTAATTAAATTGTTGTCGCTAACCTCACCAGATTAGCTCACTACTTCAGACAATAACTTAAAACTGGATTACCAGTTTGTTTGTTGTTAAGTGTTGTTGTCGCTAACCTCACCAGATTAGCTCACGACTTCAGATAATAACTTAAAACTGGATTACCAGTTTGTTTGTTGTTAAGTGTTGTTGTCGCTAATATCACCAGATTAGCTTACGACTTCAGACAATAACTTAAAATTGGATTACCAGTTTGTTTGTTGTTAAGTGTTGTTGTTGCTAACCTCACCAGATTAGCTAACGACTTCAGACAATAACTTAAAACTGGATTACTAGTTGTTTGTTGTTAAGTGCTGTCTATGTTCAACGAATGTATCAAACCCCGAATTTTAGCATTATTAGCTCTCAAACTCACCACTTGCACGGATTACAAAATAAAAAACAAAATATTGAGAAACAGTGTTTACTAAAATTAAAACGAATTTATTCCTGAAACGGTTAAAAAAATTACATTATTAGGCTTCAGTTGGAAAGCTTTAACTTTTTAACATTGTTAATTGTTTAATTTAATTTGATAAATGGAGTGAAAAATATTATTTAATTGGAGACTTCGTGACAATTTGAAATACAATAAAAATATCATTAAATTTGATACTGCGTAACAATTTCTGTTTACAGAAGTAGATTGGATTAATAAACTTCTATCATCAAAATACTTAAATTACGTCTTGTTCGTGAGGAGTGAAAAGTCATTGTTATACACGTTAGGCCAAAGTAACAAAAGGACAACACTGAGCCCCGATCCACATATAATAAACATCACCGGCCTGGTTATCTAAAGTACGGTACATCACCGGCCTGGTTATCTAAAGTACGGTACATCACCGGCCTGGTTATCTAAAGTATGGTACATCACCGGCCTGGTTATCTAAAGTACGGTACATCACCATCCTGGTTATCTAAAGTACGGTACATCACCGTCCTGGTTATCTAAAGTACCGTAGATTACCGTCCTTGTTATCTAAAGTACGGTACATCACCGTCCTGGTTATCTATAGTACCGTACATCACCGTCCTGGTTATCTAAAGTACGGTACATCACCGGCCTGGTTAGCTAACGTACAGTACATCACCGGCCTGGTTAGCTAAAGTACGGTACATCACCGTCCTGGTTATCTAAAGTACGGTACATCACCGGCCTGGTTATCTAAAGTACGGTACATCACCGGCCTGGTTAGCTAAAGTACGGTACGTCACCATCCTGGTTATCTAAAGTACGGTACATCACCGTTCTGGTTATCTAAAGTACGGTACATCACCGTCCTGGTTATCTAACGTACGATACATCACCGTCCTGCTTATCTATAGTACCGTACATCACCGTCCTGGTTAGCTAAAATACCGTACATCACCGTCCTGGTTATCTAAAGTACCGTACATCACCATCCTGGTTATCTAAAGTACCGTACATCACCATCCTGGTTATCTAAAGTACCGTACATCACCGTCCTGGTTATTTAATTACCGTACATCACGTTTGGTTGTATGACATTATTTCAACCAGTTATTGGTTCCACTACACTAAAGGTCAGAGTGCTTACCGTAACAATAAACACGATACTGGTTTCACAGTACTTCACCGGCCTGGTTATCTAAAGTACAGTACATCACCATCCTGGTTATCTAAAGTACCGTACATCACCATCCTGGTTATCTAAAGTACCGTACATCATCGTCCTGGTTATCTATAGTACCGTACATCACCATCCTGGTTATCTAAAGTACCGTACATCACCATCCTAGTTATCTATAGTACCGTACATCACCATCCTGGTTATCTAAAGTACCGTACATCACCATCCTAGTTATCTATAGTACCGTACATCACCGTCCTGCTTATCTAAAGTACAGTACATCACCATTCTGGTTATCTAAAGTACCGTACATCATCGTCCTGGTTATCTAAAGTACCGTACATCACCATCCTGGTTATCTAAAGTACCGTACATCACCATCCTGGTTATCTAAAGTACCGTACATCACGTTTGGTTGTATGACATTATTTCAACCAGTTATTGGTTCCACTTACACTAAAGGTCAGAGTGCTTACCGTAACAATAAACACGATACTGGTTATCTAAAGTACTCACTTGAACAAAAATACATGAAACTGGTTTTGTTCGAAATACCAGAAAAAAAGCCGTTTTTCATTGATACAAGTTATACAGTTGTCTGTAATAAACTTATTAAGCGGATCATATCTTATTAACAAAACAATTAATGATTGATATTCCACTGACGTTGAAAATAAACCGGTTCAAGAAACAGGATTTAATATTCTAAATAGAAGTAAATATATTTCTACTGAACTGTAAATAAGTAGATAAGTCCGACATCAAAAAAAAAAAAAAAAATCACCCAAACAATCAGTACACTTTTCTGTCCTGATTTATTGGCTATGATGTTATTTTTCACTCACAACATTTACAGTAAGCGTTAAGAAAGTCTTCCAATGTTGTTTTATTTGATTGTAGTCCATTCTCCGTAGAAAACTGTTCTTCTACAGTTGTGTTTCTTTCTGTTTGTCTGTATATATATTTATAACATCCTCTTTCAATATTATCCTTTCTCTGTAAAGTTAATACTGCTCAGTAAATCTCTGACCATCAATGTGACGGAACAGTTTTGTTTTATGTTTATCTTTCATTCTTTCTTGTTTTAAAAACTTCATGAAAACAAGTTTGTACAGAAAATATCTTGGGTGACACTTAGATTTATCGTAATTAATTTTAAATTTCTTGGGTGACATTTAGATTGACTGTAGTTAAATTTATAGTCCAAAATGTATCTAAACGTCATTTTTTTTTTATTGTGAATTATGAGCTAAAAGATAACGAGGGGGGGGGGGTATGTCAGAGGTTCTTTAAATATCAATATATCCAACAATATCCAGCCTCTCGGTAAAAATAAATCCACCCCTTCTCGTTCAGAAATAGACTTTTCATTTACCTTTAAATTTTGGAGTCTCTTATTTTCCCAAGGCCATCGAGGTAAACCAGCTTTAAGAGTGAAACACACCACAACCAACGTTTATTGGCACAATGAGACGTAAAATCTGGCCGACTAGTTTTGGTAAGACGGTTAACATCAGCCGTACACGTAATCCAGGAAATAAGAACTTGTAATAGTCTTTAAAAAAATTGGTAGTCTTTGGATCTCTAGAAGCTCTATTTTTCGGGTCTGTTGCTGTTGGATACCAAGAATACTATTACGTCACTTGAACTACAAGGGTTAAGGTGTGATCTCAGTCTGTTTTAACGTTCGAGTTTTAATAAGCGCATTTTTTTCTCCGTCAGCTTTAATTATCCACCTATTGGACAGCTGCCAGTTCTCTAAGTCACGTGAACGTGGCGAGTGCAAGTACTTAAACGTCAGTAAATGATTCGTGAATGAAACAACTTAGAATATTAGGGTTGACTACTTGTTGTTATCGCGTAGCCTGACGGGATAGTGCTAGAGGTGGAAATATAGCTATTCGAGGTGTTAAACTGACCATCAGGAGAGACCATGCCCGTCACGGTAATTCACGCTCAGTTGGCTCCTTACTACAAACTTCCTCGGGTCGAAGTTCACCAAGAGGAGTATCTGGAAGCGATGTTTAGCAGGAACAAGAACCCGAATTATAGTGATCTAGTGATACTATCGGCTGAAGTGGGACTCGCGGTGGAAGACTTGAAGGTAACATTTTCAATAATCTATCACATTTTTGTATTTAATACGAATATAAAAATACAACGTTAAAAGAGAGTTAAACATGAACCAGTCACGGATGTTTTTTTTATTAAGCTGTTAATTTCGAAATCGTAACAGTAAAATCAATATTTCGGTTTCAGATTGAGGTGTGAAGTCCAGCAGAAGGTTAACATTATTTCAGCGGCCAGCTTGAGGGTACTAGGCGTAGTAGAAGGTTAACATTAAAGTGTTATTTCAGCGGCCAGCTTGAGGGTACTAGGCGTAGTAGAAGGTGAACTTAATGGTTTCACACATGCTATTAATTAAAGTTTTTTTTATTCAACATGAGAATACCAAGTAACTCATTAGATCTAAATATATCGAACAACCAGTATAGACGGATTAATGAATCTCCTAAGTCACCATGCAGCGTCTGTAAGGTATCGAACCACCATTAAAGACAGATTAGTGAATCTTCTAAGTCACAGTTCGGGGTCTGTAAGGTATCGAACCACGAGAAAATGTGGATTAGTGAATCTTCTTAGTCACAGTTCATGGTCTGTAAGGTATCGAACCACCATTAAAGACGGATTAGTGAATCTTCTAAGTCACAGTTCAGGGTCTGTAAGGTATCGAACCACGAGAAAATGTGGATTAGTGAATCTTCTAAGTCACAGTTCATGGTCTGTAAAGGCATATTTGTGGTACTCCACACTGTGCTAATGTTTAGTTGGATTTAATAGACTGTGAAGGTGAGGCATGTTTGTGGTACTGCACACTGTGCTAATGTTTAGTTGGATTTAATAGACTGTGAAGGTGAGGCATGTTTGTGGTACTGCACACTGTACTAATGTGTCATTACATTACACGTGTTATTAAGTATTAATTTGGAATCACCACAAGTTTCCTTTACGTGTATTGTTATTAAGTAATTGATTAGGACTGTAATTGTTACGTGAGTTAAGTGTAAATACTTTAAATGTAAATATATATATATATATTTATTTGTGATCTGTCTTCTAAATCTAGGACAGGCGTATGAAAGTCTCCAAGTCGATGACGCCTGTTATTCATTAAATAAAAAGGTCTTCTATAAAGTTACGAACTCAAACGGATGTTACAACCGATGACATGAGTTTATGCAACTAATGTATGATTACGAGGTTTCACTAGCCTAATTCTCCCATTTTTGTGGCTAATTGGAACTTGAGGTTCTCGTGTAAGGGGGTATTGATTACTTATCATCTCCTAATTAGGCTAAGGACCTCGTTTTTTCGGTCGTGGTTTGTAAACTATATTGCTTACGTGAATTATTACAGTCGAACGAGGTCCTTAGATAATTTCTTGTTTTTTTTTTTATTAACTCTTCCGATCTTTCAGTTCCTATCAATGATGAATCTCAATCGTAATTATTCGTTCCCATTTTGTAAAAAAAAAGCGTCTATTACAACTCCGTATAGTTTTTTTTAACCACAAAATATTCCCCGCACTTTAGCCGTGGTTGCGTTATAAGTGTGACAGTTAATCCCTTAGCGTGGTCGTGGAAGGTAAGTATTATATTACTACTGACTAGTTGTTTACTTCTGGTAAGTTCCAAATTATGGCACATATAATATTTACATATTTGCCGTAAATATAAAATACAAAACTCTTCTGAATAACTTTTGATCAAATTATTACGAGTTAATGTAACTAATGGAAACCGAAATGTAATCAGACCAAAGTTTTTAAATTTAGTATCGTCACACACCAGTGACGTTTTTACACGATAGAAGATTTTTATATATTACACGTTTTCTTGAATTCTTAAAACGACTTCATATTTTACACGAGTTGATGTGCCGGGCTGCCTATCGTAAGGTACGAAGTTCGAAAACCCAGCTTGGGTGACTAGCCGGCTTCTGTTATCGCGACCAGCTGACATCAAGAAATCGAACTTTGCTTTAAAAACGAAATTGACGTAGATTTGATTGTAGCCCGGGATTCTCCATCATCTCGACTGTTTGGATTTGACTGTAGCCCGGGATTCTCCATCATCTCGACTGTTTGGATTTGACTGTAGCCCGGGATTCTCCATTATCTCGGCTGTTTGGATTTGACTGTAGCCCGGGATTCTCCATTATCTCGGCTGTTTGGATTTGACTGTAGCCCGGGATTCTCTATTATCTCGGCTGTTTGGATTTGACTGTAGCCCGGGATTCTCCATTAACTCGGCTGTTTGGATTTGACTGTAGCCCGGGATTCTCCATTATCTCGGCTGTTTGGATTTGACTGTAGCCCGGGATTCTCCATTAACTCGGCTGTTTGGATTTGACTGTAGCCCTGGATTCTCCACTATCTCGGCTGTTTTGTAAGAATCTAGAAAGTGAAAATACTCGTTCTTGCAGATCGTTTGACACTTAAGTTATGCCAATAGGTTTTATTAAGTTGCTGGAGAGCTAAAAACAAACTTCAATTGGCAACTGTAATCACAAATGCTTGTGGTTAATTCAATACTAAAAGCGATGGAAAAACATTGGCTGAATTCCGTTTCCACAGTCTACTGTTAACTGAAACTAAGGTGATTATATATTATACTTATAGGATCAGAATTTATTTTCAGGTATACACTACTAATTATTACGCTGCTTCAAGCTTCGAGGTCTGCATAGCTAATTAAGTAAATATTACGAGTAACTCTCTACACGGCCACTGCTGGAAAGGTGTAGCAGCCAAAAACCACACTACACACAATAATGTTAAGACGATCGGTAGGCCTGAGAAGTTCGTAATGATGACAAGCGTGGAATGAAAATTAGGGTTCGAACGGCTGATGTAATATCTTAGTTGAGCTGTAGTGAATGCCAATAACCAAAGTATCTAGCCAGTCAGCCTGACAAGGACCCCGCACATACAGCCACTAGATGGAATAGATATGACGTCAATTATATGTCGTAGGTTGTTGGGTTTTGGGCGAGCTGTGGCCACTATTTCTTTACCACAAAATATTTATACCATATTTGGTGGCGTAAGAAATATAGACTGATTAGAACTCAAGCAAAAAAAAAGTGTTGTGCATTCTGAAGTGAATGTGAGAATCGCTCGTTATTAAACTTTAGCTTTTGTGTTAGTTTTATAAAACATGTAACAAATAAAAACATTTCCTGCTCTGGCAAACAGTATGGAACCAAAGTATGTATCTATACGGACGAATACGACAAAGGTTATATCCCAACAATGGTTACCTGAATACGACAAAGTTTGTATCCCAACAATGGTTACCTGAATACGACAAAAGTTTGTATCCCAACAATGGTTACCTGAATACGACAAAAGTTTGTATCCCAACAATGGTTACCTGAATACGACAAAGGTTATATCCCAACAATGGTTACCTGAATACGACAAAAGTTTGTATCCCAACAATGGTTACCTG